AAAGGCTTTGACGATATTGACAAACCCACTCCACCCTGGGATACTGCATGGTCCAACAGGGAGCGGACGCACGTAGTGGCATCTATAGTGGAAAGCTCACGTCAGAATCCAAATTCAACCAGATAGGAAAAACAGGAGCTCTACCACCCAGTGAGATTTATGTACTTCGTGTGTGGATTCAGAAATGAGATTAGCATCAATTTTAAAAATAGACAACATTTTTTATCCTCACAGAAATGTAAGTCGTTGGAAAGAAAATTCTTTGCTCTATTTTGGGAGTTAATTATCATCTTTATTCTTTGTTCTATTTTGGGACATAATCGCCATCTTTTACTGCGCATTTTTGAATATTTTGCTTTATTTTTCGTATTTCAAAGTGGTAGAATCCCGCCTCTAACCTGTTGAGGGAGGGTTCACCTCGTCTTTGACTTAATCATCACTCCGAAAGCGTTGGCCACTCAGGTGTTCCTTTAGCTTCGGGAACTAATGATAATCGCTAGGCGCGAGATCCGGGCTGTGGGATCCTGTGTGTGGGGCATGACAGTTCACCCAAAGTTTGACGGAAGACGTGACGTGAGGTTGAGCATTGTCGTAAAGCCGCGTTACTTTTGAACTTGTTGAACAGACATACACTTGTCGCCATACGCTTCTGTAAGCTGTCGATGAATATCCACGGGTGGAGTCCCTTTGGTGTATTCGAATATATTTTTTTTTTCAACCGAGATTATTTAAAATAATCTGTTTTATTTTTGTTTTCAAATTTGCCAAACAAACGTGTCGTTAAAGAAATGGACTTAAAACGTCATTTATAAAACAGTGACACACAGTGTAAAATGGGATGATTTTATGGCAGATTTTAGATCGATATCTGAAATCTTCTTCTTGTATCTTTAATTATGTAATTAATACTCCTTCCCGTACATCAGATGTATTGATTACAGATTTGAAGATACAAGAATAATACCAAAATATACGCATTCGTTAATTAAATTTAACGTTATCGGTTTTCATTATATGTTATATGGATAATTTATCCAGAAATAGATTTTGTCGATGTCTGACGCATGAATATTCCATAATTATTTTTCGAATTGTAGATAAAACAACCGATTTTAAATTCAAAGAATTTTAAAACTTATCTACCCAATGGAGATGAGATACATATAAAGAATGAAACGATTTACATAAAAGTACATTTTCAATTCGAATCAGCAAAATGCAAAATATATCATATATTCATTATAATTTTTCTACGTGGGCATCATTCCGTCGACCGACGGCGTACGTAACGTACGGTGTATTGTGCTACCTGTACATGGGGTGTAACTAAATGTATGACCTGTAATGAAAATAAAACGGAAAACGTTCTCGAAATAGTGAAGAGAAGTAGGTGTGATAAAAGTGGCAACACTACCCATGAATGTGCCAAGCTATCTAACAAACAGCTGCCGAATAACTACACGTAACAGTCCTGGACTCGAGTAGAGCTGCACTGAATACTTATACAATGTATTTTGGATATATAAAGAGTCTTTCGTTGTGTACAGACGTGTCGTATAGTAATTAAAATAATTAAATGAGTATGTGCTTAAAAATGGCCTCGTTATAATAATACCGGTAGTAACTGTGACATACTTTAGTTATATTATGTGTTAGTGATTTTGTGTTTTAACTATTAAAAGTTCCAGAATAAATAATAAAATGGAGGACAGTCCCTTCAACTTGAGTGCCAGTACTATTCGCACCCCGCCTGTATAAACCCCACCCGTGCAAACACACACTTCATGTGAACTAATGAAAGCAGTTCCAACTGCTGAATTACAGCATTGGATGACAACCATTGAACAGTGCCTTAACGAGGTGTAGCTATAGATGGTAAACTTAATTCTAACCAAAAAATGCGCATCAGCTCGCTTTGTCAAAACGTAAGACACAGTACATCACAGTTGGTAGTCTAGTACATGTCCCTCAAAACAGATACCATCTAGGCCCAGACCTCCATCGTATCTCTGCCAACCAACTTAACCTGTCCCAAAAGTTGCAGGACCTCAAGATGAGTATCGAAGAGTATTGAAACTGAACTCTCGAACCACTTTTGGACATTGTCAAAGAAAAATGGCCAAACCCTCATCTGCCCAAACAATCTTAGTACCCTAGTAATTTATCTGAGGGACAAGTCTGAAACCAATGATGACACGAAGTGCCTCTTACAAAAGATAATATCCCCAGAAGAACTCAAACTACATGTCCGCGGCATGAGGAAGGTAAAAATTGGGGAAGTTATAATTAGCGCTGAGACTAATGAAGATATCGATAAATTAAAGAAATCTGAGAACTGATTTCAACACTTGGTATCCTTGTAGCCCTCACTGATAAAGAAATCTTCGAGTGCATCTTCGAACAAAATATTGCTGATAAATTTCCCAATGCCACGCGTGAGTCCTTCCTGGCAACAGTCAAACTGATCAATAAATCAGGTAAGAAAAAGACAGAGAGTATGCCGAATTAAACCGCTTAGAAACAAAAAAAACAACTTCTTAATAAAAATGATAACCTGAAAGTACGAGTGTCCTGTTTCGAATCCCAAATACGGGAAATGGAACAAAAAGTACTTTCGTATTTCTTGGAAATGTCAGGGCTATCTGAAGTGGCTTTACAAAAAGCTTTAGACACACTAATATCAGTTGCTATAAAGCTTAAGGTAGCATTAGAAGCCGTATATTCCTTGCATAGCATGTATATTCGTAAGGATCATCCGTGTTATAGAATAACCATGAAATTAAAAACTACCGAATCCCGCAAACAATGGATTTCAGCGACTAAGCAGGTGTCTCCTGCAGTTGGTTACTTTGTACCTAACGCATTGCACGAAATGTCTAAGAATTCAATTATTGTTTGTGAGGCACTCACTACGCACAGCAAAATTTTATTGTATAATGCAAAAAAAAATAGGTCCAACATTTATATGCTGTAAAAATGGTAAAGTTTTTGCAAGGAAAATAAAGGCAAGTAAAGTGCATCTGATTAGATCGATGTCTGAAATGGTATCATTAACTAAATAAAGTTTCTACCTATATCTCTTTTTTAACTTGGTAGGTCTTTGTTTATTTACTATACTTACATCAAAACCTAACGTATAAATAATTAGTTGAAATACAATATTTTAAGTAATATCTAATAATGATGGATAATAATAATATTATGTACTCATGTGAAATAACTGTAAACTTTGACTATTTAAAATGTAATAATTTTATCAAAAACTTTCATACTTGAAGTTCTCACTAGTAGCCATCAGGATATTATCATAGTATTTCTACGTTATTTTATTTTAGGCATTCCATGTAATGCCATTTTCGACGATTTGCAAGTGGTATCTTAAAAGCAACACAATTTATATTACCATACAATACCAGACAACTCTTTGTATTTTTATTTTATTGCTATTTTTGTTGACTTTTTTTCATTATGAGAAGTTTTTACTGTTGTTGTAATAATTTTATTTTAAAAATTGTTGCAAATACGGTTAGCTACGCCTGTTCGGTGTGGAAATTTAAGCGCCTACGGCAGCGTTTTACATGGATAATATTTACATTATTATTATATATTTATCATGGGGCATTAATTAACTGTTCTGCAATTCTAACAAGATTCTAAGGAAAGTCAAAACAAGTAAAAAGTTGCGAGCAAGCTAATGATGGGACAAGGTTGAAAATCAACAAAATTTATAAAATCTTATCGATAACATTCTGCTTGATCTTACTTCTGCTTGCAGTAAAAAAATCGTGAAGGATACTTACAACAAAAGACGATCAACAAATATATATATATATATATATATATATATATACATATACAATATATACATATATATATATATATATATATATATATATATATATATATATATATATATATATAAGAGGATGTCGTTAGTTAGTAACTGACTCATATATCAATGCACACCCCAAACCACTAGACGTAGAAATCTGAAATTTGGACAATAGCTGCCTTTTATAACGTAGGTATTCACTAAGAGAGGAGTGAAAGTGGGTATTACAATTGATATGAATTTTTTTTTATATTTACGAGGTGATTGACTCGAAACTTACCCATAATACTGCGTATATAAAAAAATAGGATTTGACAATATTTGTAATCACTTTCTATCGGTGGGGTGTGGAAGTGGAGAAAGAGACAGAGAGTGATTAAATTTTTATAGAGAATAATTTATTTAGATTGTTTCTTATTAAAACTTTGTGTATGTACTACAGTTAAAGTTAAGAATCTACATACCTCCCACTGATGGATACAGGCTGGGCTTCTACGGCTACAAGATTAAAATTATTAAAAAACATTTATAATTTTTTAAAACCTACCCTTAGGCTCTTAAAAGCAGATTGCAAAGTTTGTATGAAAGATAATGTTTTAAGACGCACAGCCCAAATAGCTAGACCTAAAAATCTGAAATTAGAAATAAAAAAATTTTATGTTTAAATTATGTTATAGTTTAACAGTCTTACCAATAAAAATATCTAAAACATCTGTTTAACAAGTGTGTACTTATACATTGTATAAGCTTTGGGTAAGATTTACACACGCTCTTTACCAATAACGGGTGTATAACCGTTGTATAGTTATAAACTCGCTAAAACAAAAACCATTGGCAACATTCATCAAAAACGTTTTGAAACTCAATTGTAAAATTGTAGAGACATTATGAAAACACATAAACGGCTTATAAATTCTCTTTATTGTAATTAATGACACATAAATTTAGCCCAAAACATTGTTTAATTGAATTTAGAAATAATCTAATGTTTTTAGGCGATAAATACTGAACATTATTTTGACAAAGCCATATTTATTATCCTCATAAGTTTATGAACGTACCTTTCAGACAGTTTCCAACTCAATCGTCATTCGTCAATTTTGTTGTTTGGGTTTAATAATTCGTTAATAGCTACTATATTGTTTAAAACATCGCAAATTCTGTAATAATGGCTAATAGTAATTTAAACTTTGTCAAAAGAAAACGGTCTGCAAATTGGGATGCATTAGAAAAGGTAAGATAATTTACTAGAAAAAACATTTAAAACTACATACTGTTTCTTAAATACTGCTGTTTATATGGTCACAATTTGTAATCTAACTTTGTATATTATCTTTCAGAGTTTATTAAAAAGTTGTATGAAGGAGTTTGTATCCGTCATAGAAAATAAAAACACTGATACAAATACTAATAAAAGTAAGATCATTGCTTGGCAGAAAGTGATGAAAAGGTTAGTAAAATACTACATTTTTTTAATTTTGTTTCATATTTATTGTATGCAAGTTGTAGTTTAAGAAATTAAATTTAAAAAAAGAATATACACTCACTTACTGAGAAACAAAAGAAAGTAACATGTGCTTTGAGTAGGCATAAAATATCTGTGGACTTATGTTAAGTATAAATATGAATTTTATATTCATATATCATATATCTTGCACAAAATACTAAAGAAGCTGATGGTAGTGTAAGAATATTTCATAGTCGCTTACTAATATGCACATCCAAAATCAAAGCGCAGTCAAACTCCCAGTACAATAACCTCCAAGTGTTAGTTAACCAACTAGATGTGTTAAGATATTTGTTAGGTATAATTTGATAAGTTGTTAATTATTATAGTATATGTAAGATATTTTAATTTCATTTTTTAAAATGAGTATGTTTTCATTTTAGTGTAAATATATATTTATATATTTTTAATGTTTATTATTTGTTAGTTTTATGTAAGTTTTATTAATATAGTATACATTAAACTATGCATATTGTGATTGAAACATTTTCAGTTTTAGTGAATTGAATAGCCGGGTAAGAGAATTGGCTGAAGTAAAGCAACAGTGGCGCACAATGAAACTTGATGCCAAAAAAAAAACATGTCACAGGTAAAGACATCCATCAAATGTACTGGTGGAGGGCCTAAACCTCTTAGCCCTGACCCGGAAACCATTGACATTTTGAGCATGATTCCACAGGAATTTGAGACGGATTTCAATGTCTTCGACAGTGACAGCATAACAGTGAGCTCATACTATATTTTTGTAATTATTTTGTCTTAGCACTAACACAATATTTAGTATCAGAATGAGTATGTTATATCTTACGATTATGACATCAGTGTGTGATATTCTATTTTATTTTAGCATCCAGAGATTCAAAGTCAGGAGAAGTCCTCGGTTAATACAATAACACAAGAGTATGTTATCACTCCAGGAGATAATAATGATAATGTGCAAGAGGTTTGTTAGTTTAAATTTGTTGATTGAATTTACTTTGATTAGTATCTTTTGAATTCTGAATGACTTTTGTTAATATTCCAGAATATTACACCACTACCTTTCAAGATGCAAAATGAAAAAGATAGAACGAAACGGAAATTATCATTCAATCGTATGAATGATAATATACACACAACCAAACGTGAGGTAAAATTTAATTTAATTTTAATAAATTGTTTAATTTAAGTATAACTAAATTATGGGATTAGTGATGTGTGATTAATAATATGTTTATTACAGGATAGAGACTTAACCAGAGAGCGCAATCATGTTCTTGTCAGTTGCATAAAGGAAGAACATGATTTAAAAACGAAAAATATGATGGAAGCTCATAGTTTTATTAAAGAGGAACATAATTTAAAAATCCAAAAAATATTATTGGAAAAAGAAGAAACGCAGCTTCGTGTTGCAAAACTTAAATTAGAAATTTTACTTTTAAAATCAAAATTGCCTCAATAAAATATCTTTTACCTTTTTTATGTTAAATTAATAGTTTTTTATGTTAAACAATCAAATTAAGTTAAATTGAATAAGATTAAATTAAATTTATTATAATGTACTTATGTCACTTATATGGACTCTGTCTGAAATAAATTGATTTTATGTATTTTTTATTTTATTTATTAACAAAACATTTTTGTAACTAAAAGTGTGTTTCAATGAATATTCTCCTTGTTTCTTGACCAGATCGGCTATCGAGACCTTCCCTTAGCATTTGTTGGTCACCATTATCTTCAGATATGACTGGTTCAAGAAAATCAATGCCTTCATTAATTTCAATGGCAATATTGTGTAATATTGCAAGCGCAACAATGTATAATTTTGCATTTTCCAGTGACACATTAAATCCAAGTAATAAACATCGGAACCTCTGTTTCCAAACTCCGAAACACCTTTCAATTGTATTCCTTGTCAATATATGTGATTTATTGTAAGATTCCTCCTTAGCGATACGAGGATTCTGGACTGTGTAACAAATAATTTGTTAAACCGTAGCCAGAATCTCCTAGTAAACGAGCATGAAATTCCCCATTTTCAAATCGTTGTCGGATTCGGCTTTCTCTAAATATTCTTGCATCATGTGTGCTGCCCCTCCAGTGTGCCACTATGTCCCTTATCTTTAATTGGGCATCACAAACTACTTGGACATTTAAAGATGAAAACCCCTTTCTGTTTATATAATAATGAGCACTATCGCCTCCGACTTTTTTAATCTTTATGTGTGTGCAATCAATAGAAGCAATTGCTTGCTTAAAGCCACAAATGTTCCTAAATCCAGAAACCACTTGTTCTTGCTCTCCTAAAGTACTAGGCATGCTTATAAATTCTGCCGCTTTAGTTGCCAAAGCAAGAGCTACTCTTCGGCATATATTCGTGATGGACTGTTGGCTAAGTCCATGAACGTCTGCTGCATCATCTTGAACTTCTTGCCTAGCCCACGTTCTGAGAGCAGTACATACCTGAAGTTCTACAGACAGCCCGCCACCACTAGCTTGTAGTTCGATGTAACGTTGAACTAAGTCAACTATTTTTCTCATATATACTTTACTGAATCTATATTTCATTCGAAATTCTTTATCTTGTAGAGTAAAGGGATCGAAACGTTTTTTGTAAAGTTATCTTTTTCTTCGTGGTTCCTCACGGTCGATTTCATCAAAAATATCGAAATATTGTAAATAATCAATTATTTTCAAAAATGCCACACGTCAAATAGAGGTTATACACGTCTTAAACAAAGGTTGAGAACTGTATAACGGTTGCGTAATTTCCCATACAATTTAAACACTCGTTATAACAGATGTATACAACTGAACTGTCAAATGTCATTTATTGGTAATGTTAACGTTATAACTCTGGTATACGTCGTGTGTAAATCTTTATTAGTAAGGCCGTAATTATATCCTTGACCTTGATCCTTGAGAAGATAAGTTGTTTAGATCGCATGGAGGCTGGTTGCAGTGCAAACGACAGTCCTGCTGTGTCGAGCAGCTTGTACATGGTGAGGCACCGCAGCAACGGAAGTGAGCCCATCATTGCCTACGTCTTAGGCTTCACTTACTAATAATAGTTTAAAATTAAGTGGTTATTTCAATTGGATATATAAGAGTAATTGTATCCTACAATTTTTTTAGTAAACCACTAAAATTATATGATATTAAAAACGGTGGGGTACCGTTATTGGGACGAGGGTGGCTTAAAGATCTTAAAATAAATATTATGACTATGAACGTTAATTCCGTAACTGAGAGTAGAGATAAGATGGAATCAATATCCAGCAACGTTAGCAGATTCGATTGCAAGACGTTTGTGGAGAGCTATCCTCACGTGTTAAGCGATAAACTAGGTAAACTGAAAGGTAAGCGAGTGACTTTGCGCGTGCGAGCCGACGCGGCCCCGGTCTACAGACGCGCGCGCCCCCCTGCCGCTAGCTTTGAGACTGTGTGTCGATGCCGAGCTACAACGTATGGAACGCGCGGGTATAATACCTCCAATTCAGGCCTCCTATTGGCCTCGTGTCTTGTGGTAGTCCTTAATATTAATGGTTCTTTGTGGCGACTAGAAAAGCACTTTTAACCCGGTCTTAGAAATTGATCAGTATACACTTCAACGCATTGAATGTTTATTTAATAATTTAAGACGAAAGAAAACAGTTTTCAAAAATTGATTTGTCTTAAGCGTACAACCAAAAAATAGAACTAGACGATTCAAAAATTTACACCGTTGTCAACACACATACAGATCTTTTTGTATATAACAGATTAGTTTACGGATTGGCATCTGCTCCTACAATTTTTTAGCGAATATTGGAGAAAATTTTGGTCGGCATACCATACGTTTTCAATTTTTTAGATGATATATTGATAACAGGCGTGACAAGTACAGAACATAAAAAATTTACACGCGGTTTTTGAGAGGTTATCTAAGACAGGATTAACAATTCGTAAAGAAAAATGTATTTTTATTTCAAAGAAAGTTAAATATTTAGGGTACGTCATTTCGGAACATGGGATTAGTACGGACAAGCATAAAGTAGAAGTGGTACTAAAAGCACCTCCGCCGACCAATATAACGGATTCAAATTCGTTTATAGGATTGCTTAACTTTTATTTTTATTATATATTTTTATTATATACGAAATTTAATAAAGGAATTTCCGAAATTTTATCTCCACTATATAGTTTGCTTAAAAAAGATTCAGTTTGGAAATAGGACACTAAACAAGTGCAGGCCTTTGAAATAATCAAATTGTAACTTAGCAGTTATCCGGTTCTTATACATTATAACGAAAAGCTACCAGTGATATTATGTTGCGCCGCGAGCGCGCGGGGCGTGGAGATGACGAATCACACCGAACGCGGTGAGCGGCCGGTTGCTTACGCTTCACGCGTGCTCAGCAGAGCGGGACAGTATTTCATGATGGCACACCGCCTGCAACTTTACAAGGCGCAGGTTCGGCCGTACATGGAATACTAATCCCATCTCTGGGCTGGAGCTCCCCAGTACCAGCTCCTTCCACTTGACCGCATCCAGCGCAGAGCGGCTCGAATCGTTTTCGATCGACGACCGAATGTTTTCCGATCGGCTCGATTCACTGGCGCTGCGAAGAAATGTTGCATCTCTTTGCATTTTCTTTCGCATATACCACGTGGCTTGCTCTGAGGAATTGTTCCGATTAATCCCAGTAGCCAAATTTCGTGAACGCACTACGCGGCAAACGTTCCGATATCATCCATTCCATCTGGATGCTTGACGGTCCACCACTATACGTTTCACAAGGAGTTTTCTTCCGCGTATGACCTATCTGTGGAATAGTTTACCACCGGCTATTTTCCGGACCGATACGACCTGGCGACCTTCAAGAAAAGAGCTTACTCCTTTCTAAAGGGCCGGCAACGCACCTGCAATTCCCCTGGTGTTGCGGTTGATCGTGGGTGGCGGTAGTCACTTAACATCAGGTGAGCCACATACTCTTTTGTCCCCTTTTCTATAAAAAAAAAAACTAACAAACGCAGAAGCGAACTATAGTCAGGTGCAACGAGAGGTGCTTGCAATCGTATTTGGGGTAAAAATTTTCACTCGTATTTGTATGGGCGTAAGTTTATCCTTCCCACAGACCATCAACCGTTTGTCACGATTTTTGTATCAAAAAAATAATTACTTTATTAGATGGGCTATTTTGTTATCAGGATATCAGTATGAAGTACAGTAGCCGAACTGCTGCACTTTCTAGATTACCTTTAAACGTGGCCGAAGTATATAGACAAAAAATTGATAATATTTATTTAAATTTTATCGAAGCCAATTATTTTCCTGTAGACTCTAATGACGAAATACGATTAGTGACGGCAAAAGACAAAATATTTTATTAATTGTCTAGAATTTGCAATTATATTAAATCGGGGTGGCCAGCATCTGGGGTATACAATGAAGAATACGCACCATATTACAGACGTCGCGAAGACTTGTTCATTGAAGGCGGCTGCATTATCTGGGGTTGTCGAGTAATGGTGCAGGTTCGGTTCTTCGGTTTAAAGTATTAGAAGAGCAACACGGGTCCCATTTCGGCGTGGTAATGTGTAAAGGACAGGCTTGAAGGTATATCTGGTGGCCAGGTTTGGATAATGACAGAAAAAATGTGCGCGGCTTGTTAAACTTTTTTAGAAACTGCCGATATACCAAAAAGATCTCCTGTCGTTCCGTGGTCATGTCCGGCGAAACCATTTGAAAGAATACACATAGACTTTTGTTCTATCGTGACGTGACTTATCTAATAACTATCGAGGGATTTTCAAAATGGATTGAAGCGTTACAATTGACCACTACTACAGCGACTAATACTGTAAATAAACTTCGCGAAATATTTTCACGATTCGGATTACCAAAGAAATTAGTTTTGGATAACGCACAACATTTGGAAGCGAGGAATTCTTATTGTCTTCCAACGGAGAAGCTGAAAATGCAGTACGCACTGTAAAAAAAGCATTAAAAAAGCAAACTTTGAGAAAATAACGCCTTCTGTTTTTTACAGCGATTTTTATTAGACAATCGAAATACTATTCATTGTACTACAGGAGAAACACCAGCTAGACTTATGTTCGGTCGTCCTCTCAGATCACGGTTTGATTTGTTAAAGTACGACTTGGTTGAAGATATATCTTATATATCTTACGGACGGATGCGGAGTTTAGCTACCTGTGCAGGACAGGATTAATTGTACAGTTTATGGAAACAATATTATTATAATTTAAAAAAAATATTATGAACATATACGTCTAATAACTTACGTGAATTATGTAAACACATTTTGAATTTTCTTAGGAGACGTGAAACAACATAAAACTATCCAATAAATTACACACGGTACGTTACCTCACAAAAAAAAAACGTTTTTAACAGCTCTTTTCTTGCGAAAAAACATTTCATCAAATATTTTTATCAGCTCTTAACTGACTATTGCT